CAGCACCACACAATGGATTACCTGCAAAAGCCTGTAATATACTCAAAATCTTTAGTTCATCTCTCAAAGGTAAGTATTTATGTCAATGAACATATCAGTGCCATCAGAATGAAAAGTCCTTGTGTCATTGTTCACAAACAAGAGAGTCAAAATGCTTCATGTTGTCAATATAACAGTGCAGAAGGCTGCACTTCTTCTGTATGCCGTATATCCATTTCAAAAATACAAATTGACACACTACTGTATGTGGGGTATTGATTGAAAGAGACTGGATAGGATTCACAGTACACTGTCATTGTGATATAGAAAATAAAAATAAATATGGGTACAAAGGTGAGAATACAAAATAAAGGCAAACAGAGGAAAACCACCTCAGTCATTGTTCACAATAGTGGCCCTTATTTCATCTGATATGCGCCTATGTCCTTGGCCTCTTCTGCCTCTTCCTCTGTTTTGCCTCTGTACCCTTCCACCATGCATCCTTACTCCTGTTCTTCCTCTCGGCTGTTGATCCTGATTGTTTCCTGGATGTTCATCCGTTGTCAGACTTTGTAGCTCTTGTGTTGTCCTCTGTCTATATGTTCTTTCCAATTGAAGGTTCATGAGATGCACCTTTGAGCTATTTCAGAGAACTGGTTTATCATTAGCTGATATACATTCTCTTCATTAGTGAAAGTCAATATTCACCTGCACAATTCATGGCAAATTTACAAAAAGTCTTATAGAAATGTGTAGAAAATATGTTTGACAGTTTATGACAACTAGATCAACCATTTTGCATTTAATGACTAGATGTTTTGAGGGGAAACACTATTGCACAGATAACTATATAGTAGATTTTGAGCAACATGACACATTCATCATCTGAAAGCTGAATAAATAGGCTTTCCATTGATGTATGGTTTGTTATGATAGGACAACTATTTGAAAATCTGGAATCTGAGGGTGCAAAAAAATCAAAATATTGAGAAAATCACCTTTAAAGTTGTCCAAATGAAGTTCTTAGCAATGCATATTACTAATCAAAAATTAAGTTTTGATATATTTATGGTAAGAAATTTACAAAATATCTTCATGGAACATGATCTTCACTTAATATCCTAATGATTTTTGCCATAAAAGAAAAATCAATAATTTTGACCCATACAATGTATTGTTGGGTATGGCTACAAATATACCCCAGCGACTGGTTTTGTGGTCCAGGGTCACATATAGCAACTGATAATGTAGGAAACTGCAGACAAATGCACATAATCAATTGCATGAATGTACCAAAGCAATCGCAACTTGCTTAAAAGAATGAGAAATTGCATTTATGATGTGCACAAGTGACTAGATGATGTGGAGGTTGAACAAGAAGTTTTGAGAATTTCATTTCTGATCTGAGAAATGCACCAAAGCAACTGAGAAAAACTGTAATATAATTGTTGATAATAAGTAGTAGTATATATAGTATACTGTTTGATGCATGTATGCACTAGCACTAATGTTAATGTGAACAATGACATAAAACCTCAGAGGAAAGACACTAAATCCTGTTTTTAGAATTAAATCTGGCTTTGACAGAAACAGGATTATCCAACAAAACCAGTTATTGAACCTCTTCCCCACCTCAGCACAGTTTTGGTATGCAGACGTCAGTTTGCAGGAGTGTTGGGTGTGTCTCATAGGGGTGGTTCTGCTTTAGTACAACGCTATTGTTAAAACGCTCAAAATGATGAGCTGTTTTTGCCCAAAAGCAGGTGTCCAGGTGTATCTCTGATCATTCTGGATCTCTGACTCACTATTGGCTGCGGAAAACAGACCAGGTTTCCAAAGTTGTGTATAGATATATCATTTAAATAAAAATTAGCTGAACATTTACTCACCATCAGGCCATCCAAAATTAGGATGAGTTTGTTTCTTCATCAGATTTGAAGAAATGTAGCACTGCATCAGTGTCTCAGCAATGGATGCTCTGCAGTGAATGGGTGCCGTCAGAATGAGAGTCCAAACAGCTGATAAAAACATCACAATAATCCACAAGTAATCCACACCACTCCAGTCCATCAGTTAACATCTTGAGAAGACAAAAGCTGTGTGTTTGAAATAAACAAGTCCATCATTAACACATTTTTAACATTAAATCATTGCCTCTGGACAAAATACGAGTCCATAATCAATAATAATGCTTCCTCCAGTGAAAAAGTGCATCTCCTGTTGTCTCTCACATCAAAATCCAGCCAGATGTTTGATTAGAGCTGTTTTGGCTTGTAAACGGTGCTTTTTGAGAAGCTTTTCTCTTCTCAAGATGTTAACTGATGGACTGGAGTGCTGTGGATTACTTGTGATGTTTTTATCAGCTGTTTGGACTCTCATTCTGACGGCACCCATTCACTGCAGAGCATCCATTGCTGAGCGTTTTTTACTTCAAACCATTGCATCTAGCTAAAATACGGGTCTTCTATCCATAAAATTGATTTCTCCAGTGAAAAACACTGGAACTACTCCTTTAACACTATAAATGATCTTTAGCTGTTTCGGTGTCATGTACTCATGTGTTATTAATGTGTTAAATATTGAGTGTATAAAATTAATGCACTGCAAGTCTTTGGATAAAAGTGTCTGCCAAATGCTTAAATGTCAAATAAGCCAACTGGAACCTATTGAAATAAGCACACATCCCTCTGATTTTATTCAGTGGCATCTTGTGTTTCCACCCTATGTAAAATCCTCCAGAAAGATCTCCCTGACAGGAAGTAGATTAACTTCTCTAAAAACAGCCCCAGCCCGAGGCGCTTCAGGAAAGTATCTAGGTGTGGTTTCTATTCATGTCTTTTGCTCCACAAATGCTCTGGTTCTGATTATTCCAGCACATAATGACAGAAAACACTCCTCGAATCATTTTCACATGAACTGCATGTGATTTGTTTACAAGCTTTTTAATAGTATCATTCACAATCAAAATATTCCCTGACTCATGCAAGATACAGCTATTGGGTTCAAATATAACGTGCTGCATCTAAAAATCTCATAAAAACATAAATGATAATTGCAGTGATTATTCAATAGACAACAATGTGGGTTAAATGCTGCATTTTATTCCCTCTAATCACAGACAAAAACAAATACACACTGATCATAAGCATTCACATCTTAAAATCTATCTTTGTAGCACCATAACAAAAAAAGTACTGTGGCTGTACCATGGTACAGTGATTGTATCAGATGGTTAAATGTATATTCCAGGGTTCCACAAATGATAAATAAAATGTTTAATACAATTTTTTGTAAATAATTTAGATCACAGTGGAGATTGAAGAAGAAGAAAAAAAAAAAGTAATTCTAAGCATTATTTCTACATCATTCATGCAATTGTTTTTTTTTTTCTCTCTGAAACATTTTAGTTGGATGTTCATATAATGCTTTTTAAATGTAACAATTTGTTTCGGAATGTTCAGAGAACATTCAAAAGTAACATTTCCATAATCTTTGCAAAATGATCAAATGGAATGTTCACTTAATGTTTGAAAAAAAAAAAAAAGGCATTTTGAACGTTAAGAGAACAGTCAGAAATAACGATTTTGTAACTTAATGGGAACGCTAGAAACATGCTCTTAGAACATATTTTTGTTAGCTGGGTATAGCCTACAGTATGTTTAGCTTTCTGCTGACTGTATTTAGGCCTTAAGTTGTGTTCATTTGTGACACTGGACCACAAAACCAGTCATAAGAGTCCATTTGAAATTGACAATATTTATATATTGGACAATATTTGGCCGAGATACAACTATATGAAAATCTGGAATCTGAGGGTGCAAAATAATCTAAATATTGAGAAAATCACCTTTAAAGTTGTCCAAATGAAGTTCTTAGCAATGCATATCACTAATCAAAAATTAAGTTTTGATATATTTACGGTAGGAAATTTACAAAATATCTTCATGGAACATGATCTTTACTTAATATCCTAATGATTTTGGGCATAAAAGAAAAATGGATAATTTTGACCCATACAATGTATTGTTGGCTATTGCTACAAATATACCCCAGCGACTTAACACTGCTTTTGTGCTGCAGGGTCACATTTGTGATGTAAGAATCATGTAGGAGTCATACAAACATACGTCATCACTGCAGCACTCTAAACCCCCCAAAACATGGTACTGCCATGGTGCTTTTGTGTAAGTGTTTCTTACGATGTGAAGTGTGAGGTGTATCTGCTGGTCGTGACTCTGTCTGTCCCCAGTGTGTTTCTCTGAGGATGTCCCATCAGGCTCTCTATGGCAGTCAGAGGCCTGCGGGAGGCGCTGCTGCTCTCTGTGCGGCTCAGGGTTTCAGAAGGCAGGCTAGAGTAAACTAGAGATGAAGAAATCTGAGAGCCACAGCTGTAATCTCTCGTGCCGGATGACCCCAAACCCCCTGACTCTCCTTCAATCTTCAGCGAGGAGTTTTCTCCATCCTTATCAGCTGATTTTGCTTTCTTCTGTAGAGGAATAACAATAGAGGTTCAGTTTAACTACTGTGAGAGAACTACACAGCCATGTCACACGGCAAGACACGGTAGACATCAGCGAGTAGAAGTGAATTTCCTCTGTATCTTAGAGAAAATAAAAGCTGTCATAATGCTTGAGAAATAACAGATTAAAATAAGCAAGCTTGGATTAGCTCATACATGCTTGTCGTCATGGTTTTCTGATCGTGAAGACTTGCCCGAGTCCTGGGATTAAAACAAAAGCAACAAGACACAATCAAAAGACAAATGAAACTACATCAAATGTATGACATGCATGACATTGACACTGCTGTCCGACAACAATGCAGCATATATAAATTACATATATGTGACCCTGGAGCACAAAAGCAGTCTTAAGTCGCTGGGGTATATTTGTAGCAATAGCCAACAATACATTGTATGGGTCAAAATGATAGATTTTTCTTTTATGCCAAAAATCATTAGGATATTAAGTAAAGATCATGTTCCATGAAGATAGTTTGTAAATTTCCTACCGTAAATATATCAAAACTGAATTTTTGATTAGTAATATGCATTGCTAAGAACTTAATTTGGACAACTTTAAAGATGATTTTCTCAATATTTAGATTTTTTTGCATCCTCAGATTCCAGATTTTCAAATAGTTGCATCTCAGCCAAATATAGTCCTATCCTAACAAACCATACATCAATGGAAAGCTTATTTATTCAGCTTTGAGATTATCTCAATTTTGGAAAATGGACCCTTATGACTAGTTTTGTTGTCCAGGGTCACATATTATATATCATACATACAAAACCATAAAAAAATATTTTGTTACTTGAAATTAAATCTACAATGAAATAAAGTAAAATAACATATTACAAACATAAAATGCACTAAATTATAGAGACATTAAAAAACTAATAAACCAAAAATGAATAAACTAATAAAAATGAAAAACAAAAGACTAAACATAACTATATTTAAAATGAAAATACCAAAATAAAAACTAATTCAACATTAATAAAAACTTAAAAATATCAATTAATAAAAAATTAATGATACTAAAACAACACTGGTAAAATCTCTTATTTTTGAATTATTGACTTTATAAAGTGAGTTGCAACATTTTCTTATGCAACATCTTATTCACTAACCACCAGTAATGCAGGTTAACCAGGCGTTAAAGGAGTAGTTCACTTCCAGAACAAACATTTACAGATAATGTACTCACCCCCTTGTCATCCAAGATGTTCATGTCTTTCTTTCTTCAGTCGTAAAGAAATTATGTTTTTTGAGGAAAACATTTCAGCAATTATCGCCATATAATGGACTTCTATGGTGCCCGCGAGTTTGAACTTCCAAAATGCAGTTTAAATGCAGCTTCAAACGGCTCTAAACGATCCCAGCCGAGGAAGAAGTCTTATCTAGTGAAACGATCGGTCATTTTCTACATTTTTTTTACAATTTATATACTTTTTAACCTCAAACGCTCTTCTTGTCTAGCTCTGCGTGAACTCTGTGCAGTCCCGTTCGAAACAGTTAGGGTATGTCGAAAAACTCCCATCTCATTTTCTTGGTATCTCTGAAAAGCCCTGAATGTGCTCTGTACAGGACATCCAGACTTAAAACTGTGACATGTAACGTCTCAGAGAAATCGCTAAAACATAATGTCCTCTACAGTGGACAAAACTCCATAGCTGGTAGTCAGGAGGTTACATTGCTGTTTTGCCGTTTTTTTTGTAAAGGGCATTTGATCTTCTTTGCATGTTCACTTTGTAAACACTGGGTCGGTACTTCTGCAGCGATGTAGGACGATTTTGAAGTTGGAGGAAAAAATGAGATGGGAGTTTTTTTCTACATACACTCTTAAAAATAAAGGTGCTTCACGATGCCATAGAAGAACCTTTTTGTCTAAATGGTTTCATAAAGAACCTTTAACATCTGAAGAACCTTTCTGTTTCACAAAAGCTTCTTTGTGGTGAAAGAAGGATCTTCAGATTAAAAAACGGTAAGAAAGAGATGGTTCTTTAAAGAACCTTTGACTGAATGGTTCTTTGTGGAACCAAAAATGGTTCTTCTATAGCATCGCTTGAAGAACCTTTTGAAGCACCTTTATTTTTAAGAGTGTACCCTAACTGTTTCGAACGGGACTGCACAGAGTATGCATGCTCATTGTAGAGCTACACAAAACGAGCGTTTGAGGTTAAAAAGTATATATATATTTTTTTATTTTTTTAGAAAATGACCGATCGTTTCCTAGTGAATAAGATAGATAATAGATAAGACCCTTCTTCCTCGGCTGGGATCGTTTAGAGCCATTTGAAGTCCATTATATGGAGATAATTGCTGAAATGTTTTCCTCAAAAAACATAATTTCTTTACGGCTGAAGAAAGAAAGACATGAACATCTTGGATGACAAGGGGGTGAGTACATTATCTGTAAATGTTTGTTCTGGAAGTGAACTACTCCTTTAAACCAGTAGTGCGGGTTTAAACGAGTCTTAAATGGAAGGAACTGACGTTGAACCACCTTTTTACTCTTCTTGTCTTTCTTCTTTTTCGTGTCCTTCTTGTCTTTTTCACTTTTCTTCTTCTTCTTCTTCTTCTTGTCATCATCGCTGTCTGAGGAGGAGGATGAGGAGCTGCTATCAGATGATGAAGAGGAGCTGGACTCCTGAGGATGGAGGTCAAGAGGTCAAATACATTCAGGGTTCATGTATTTCTCATGCTCTCAGCGTGAATATTTAATAAAGAGAGATTTTACTTTTAGACTTGACCTTTTTCTTTTGCTTCTTTTTCTTATCATCGCTGTCAGAAGAAGATGAGGAGCTACTTGATGATGATGAAGATGAAGAAGAATCCTTTAAGAAACGAGAGCAGAGCAGTTATTCAGTCAGTGTTTTTCACATGCATCTGTAAATCTAAATAAACCCATATGGACATATATATGACATCTACTGTATAAGGTGATATATAATTTTTACATTCATACGTTCTCTGGGTAGATGAAGATATAAGTTTATAACATGCATAAAACCCTCACAGTAAAATTTGCATATGTTAATAATATATGTACATATATTACATTTAAGTATGGAAATCAATCTGACCTTTACTTTCTTCTTCTTCTTCTTGTCATCATCACTGTCAGATGATGATGAACAGCTACTCGATGATGAAGATGACTCCTTAAGAAACAAGAAAAGGCTTGTACTTCAGAGTACTGCTAAGAAATTGTAGGAAATAGGTTCAAGGTCAGGTAGCTAATCATCACTTTCTTCACTTTCTTCTTCTTCTTGTCATTGTCGCTGTCTGAGGAGGATGAGGAGCTGCTGTCGGATGATGAAGAGGAGCTGGAGTCCTGTTGGGAATAATAGCAGAAATATTTTTTAATGGTTTTAATTTTATGTAATTACAATAACCGCTCTTGTATTTCTCATATTTAACAATGCCTTGTCACCATCTAGTTAATTCACACTGGATAAAATCCCACCCTACATTTTATTTCAATGTCGAATTTTCTGTTCCACTCACAAATACACCAGTTACAGACATAAAATGGGTTACAACAGCATTTTACGTTGACTTCACAAAAATAATAAATGAATACCTAAAATCACAAAAGTAATATAGTTGATCAGTTGAACTGCAGGATGTTTTCAGTTTAGAGTACAGTAGAATTTGATTGGTTTTAAATCAGCTTCGGTCTGCTTTTACTGTCTGAATTGTTCATTTTACAAATGTAAATTATGAACCAGCCCACCAATAACATATGCAGCTGTTTATGATGAAGCTTAAATCTTACTTTTTCTTTTCCTTGGTTTTCTTCTTCTTGTCATCCTCACTGTCTGAAGAACTGTCCGATGAAGAGGACGAACTGCATTCCTTCTGAGAGACAGAGACGTCAGACCAAATGAGTTTAGGGCATAAAAATCATGTTTCGCAAAGTTCTGATTAATAAAGCTAATATTTTAATAATAAGAGATGGAGATCTGTCACCTGCACACAGAGTAAACTAGCACGGTTCACGGTGAGTGTGTGACTGGGAAAGCGTGTTTTTACACACATAATTGGATGATTAATGTGTTTCTGGGTTAATGACACAAACCTTCTTCTTTTTGTCTTTCTGTTAGTCGCCTGCTCCCTCGCCGTCATCAGGTCGTCCCTGACAGCAGTCAAACCCGCAGACTCCGCAGGAAGTGCTGCACAGGACAGGAAGTCGCTTACATGAGTCATGTGACCACCATTAGACATCAGTTCAGCCTGTTCTGAGTGAAGCAGGCTCCTCACACGCAGTGCTATTTTAGAAATATATATTTACATGTTTTTCATTTTTATTGTTTTATTAATTTTGTTGTGTTTTTATAAGTACTTGTTTTTTTTAGATTTATTTCTAAATCATTTTTATTTGTTTAGTTTTAGTAATGTGTATATAGTTTTCATTATTTTTTACTTCAGTTTTAGTTTGAGTTATTTTAGTATATCAAATTAAACTAAATAAAAATGAGAAATGTTTTTCTTGGGAACTATCTGGAATAAAATAAGTTTATGTTCTATTTTATTTCACTTAATGTCTGTTTTATTTGAAGTTATATTTTTAAGTATATTTTAAATTCTTTTATTTAAAGTACATTTTTTATGGTTTTAGGTTTAACCCTGCATAAACGTTTAGATAAGCACATTTACATGACTCGTAACTAGACAATTATTAATAAAATAAACTTCTATTATATTACTAAAAAACGTTACATGTGACTTTTGCGACAAGACATTAACTTTTTCAGAGATAAACGAAACTAAACTAAAATAAAAAAGTAACATAAAATACATATTATATTACTAAAGAACTTTCCATGAGACTTTTAAGATATTATACATTTTTATGACTTTTGCAAACCATAAAAACACAATTTTCAAGAATTCATGACTGTGTCAATCCTGGTAAAAGTTATATAAATGTTGCTTTCTCCACCCAGAATTGGGATTTAAGAATCTAAACAGGGTTAAACTAGACTCAAATCTGCACAAATAAATGAACAGACTAAAGCGTCCACCAGATGAAGATGCATCTTCTGTGAGCTTTCCATCCTCCTGTTTGAGCTCAAGCTCCTGACAGACAGAAGATGAGCAGCATGAGTTACACTGACACTCACTCACAGGAGATCAAACAGAGACTTCAGCTCAATTCTCCGGTTTCTTACCTTCTCCTCTTTCTCTGCGTCCGATGCAGACTCGCCTCCTGAATCCTGGAAGTCATAATGAGCTCAATGAGTGAATTTGATTTTAACCCTTGAACTCAAACTAGTTTCCAAGAGTGAGTCAGATGTTAGTGTCGGACAATAGCAGACTTCACTTAATGACTATAATGAGTGTTTCGACACACTGACAGATGAACTTCTCTGAAAGTTTATTTTGGAGTTCAATACCAGTTACGTCATCTCATGTTGACTTGAATGAATTTTTGTCTGCATTTAATAAAAAACACATGAAATCTGATGATTTCTAGAACTTTTCATGCTTTTAAGCTGCATTGTACCTCCTTTTCCTTTTTCTTCTTTTTGTCTTTCTTCTTTTTCTCACCATCACTGGAGCTGTCAGAGGAAGAACTGCTTGATTCCTGACAGACGAGAGAGAAGAGATGTTTAACTTGCATTAAACAATACGGAAAAAAATAGTTGTGACTTTATCTCACAATTCAGAGAAAAACTATAAGATATAAGATAAGATATAAACTTGCAATTATGAAAAGAAATACCACTAGTTTTTTTTTTACATTTTGAATGAAGGTTTATTTTATATTTTCCATTTTAATTTTAGTTTTAAGTTTTAGTCATTCTGTTTTTGTTTTTAAAGAAATATGTCTAATTAGTTTTTATAGTTTTTTTTATTTCAATTATCTTAGTATGTCAAGTCTAACTTAACGAAAATTAGAAATGTCACTTTGACAGCTAGCTGAAATAAAATAAGTTTAAGTTTTTTGACAATTGCGAGATATAAAAACAACCGGAGATGAAAAGTCATAATTACCTTTTTTACATTTTTTATTCCATGGCAGACAAAATAAAGATTAAAAGATTAATTAAAATGTAAAAGAAAGATAGATCAATAGATAGATAGAGTGAGTCATAATTATCTTTTTTTAAATGTTTTTTTTTTCTGTGGGAATAAAAACAGATTTCCAATCACACCAATGCACTGCTGTACCTTCTTCCTCTTCTTCTTCTTGGTTTTGCTTCTTTTTCTTCTTGTGATCATCCTCACTGTCTGAGGAGGAAGATGAGCTGGAATCCTAAGAAATACAGAAGATGCAGAGATTTCAGATTCCAGACAGATACTGTGAAATTAAAACACTTTTATACCTCTGCGCTTCATACCTTCTTCTTCTTTTTCTTATCCTTCTTCTGCTTCTTCTTCTTCTTCTTCTTCTTCTTTTCATTCTCACTGTCTGAAGTGATTGCAGCTGCATCCTGGGAAAAATGAAGCAAAATTAATCAATATATGAACCAAAGAGCGAGCAAACAAAAAAATGTGAGACATTATCCTGAAAATTAAAAAAGTAAGGTCATTTAAATAATACAACAGAGACACTCTTAAACAGGAGAAATTACTTTGTCTTTCTTCTTTTTCTTCTCCTCGTCTCCTTTAGTTTCTCCTGCAGGAGTTAATTCAGTGTTTCCCTCCAGACCTGAAAAACATCAAAGACTTCAGAAGTGGGAAAAAGACAAGATGATCAGCAGAACGAGCTGTTCTTCCACTCAACAAAAGAATACAATGACTAGTGACTAAAATAAAATCCCTAAAAATCCCCATATATCTAAAAAAAAAAACCCAATAAAATAAAATAAAAATACATCTCTATCCCAATAAAATATATTAAAATAAATAAAAATAAAGAATAGCAATAAAAATGATACATTTTGATTTAATTGTAAAAATGTCAAATTAAAATAAATAAATAATTTTCAAATTAAACACTCACATAAAAAATAAATGAATAAAATCACAAAATCGATGATTTTGACCCATACAATGTATTGTTGGCTATTGCTACAAATAAAATAATTTTATATATGCACTGTGCAGTAAGCATAGCCAAACTCTGCATGGAAAGAGCTCATTTCCTCATGTGTCACATATTTCAGGCTTTTAGTTGTCTGTCCAAATTAAGTGAAAGTTTGTTTATCTTAGGCCTAAAACTCACAGGTGTTTCATAGAGTAAAATTACCACCGGAGTCACACTCTCTCACTCTCACTCACACTCTCACACTCTCACACTCTCACACACTCACACACTCACACTCTCACACACTCACTCTCACTCTCACTCTCACTCTCACTCACACTCACACTCACACTCACACACTCTCTCACACACCCTCTCACTCATACACACACACTCTCACACTTACTCTCACTCTCACTCACACTCTCACTCTCACTCTCACTCACACTCTCACTCACACTCTCACACTCACACTCTCACACTCTCACTCTCA